CCCCGGAAGTAAGAGCTCTGCTCCAAGAGGTGTTTCAAGCTACGCGGCCAGCTGGATTTCCCAGACGGTCAACGGGGATCGAGTTACATCAAACGCCCAGCACGGAGCCTGGCATCCAGCTGTCGCCTAGTAAATGACAGCTCTTGTGATCACGTCCTGCCGCTAAGGACGGCGCAGAGGCCACCTCACACCTGGCCGAGGTCCTTCGCATCAGGGCGGCCGGACCCTCCCCTCCCGGCCGCGCGAGGGCAGACGGCGGGTACCTTGCAGGCGCTCCGCGCGGGCGCCGCCTCTCGGCCGGGACTCGACCGCGCCGCAGGACGACACGGACGAGGCGGAGGAGAAGTCGGAGGAGTCGGAGCCGGGCGAGGCGGGCGCCGACGGCCCCGACGCCGAGCAGCTGGCGTCGCAGGCACCCGGGGCCGCGGCGGGCGGGGACGCGCCGTAGAAGTAGGCCAGGTTGAGCGGGCTGGTCATGAGGCCGCAGTCGCCGGTCGCGTCCAGCAGCCCCTCTCCGCCGCGGCCGTCGTCCAGCAGCTTGTCCACGATCATGCTCCCGGGCTCGGCGCTCGGGGACCCCCCAGACACCCACGCCACCGGCTCGTTGCGCGCGACTGCCTCCCGGCTGTAGCTGTGGCTGTGGCTGCCGCGGGCACGGAGACGAGCGGAGGAAGGACGGCGCGGGCACGGGCGCGGCTCGCCTATTTAGCCGGCTTTGGGGGCCGCGGGCGGGGCCGTGGGCGGGGAGAGGGGGACCGCCACCTCGCCGGCCTGCCCCGCGCCCGGCCGGGCCATTGGCTGCGTCGGGGCCACCTCCCGGGCCCGCCTCCGGATGCGTTCTGTTTCCAGTAAAATGTACAGGATGAGGCAATGTGCCCTCCGCCCTCGCCCCGCCCGCCCGGCTCCGCCTAGACCGGCCGGTTGTTTTCTTGCCTTTCACCTGGAAACCCCGGCCGAATGCGGCCTCCCCCGTCCCGGACCCTGACCCCCGCCCCGGCCGTCCGCGCGCCCACCCGCGGAGAGATGCCGGGCCGGCCCAGCCCTCGGCGCGCTCCCCGCCGGGCACAGGCGCACGGGGAGAGGGCGCGCGGCTGGGCCCGTGGGCTGCAGAGGGAGGCGGGGAGGCAGCGGAGGAACAGGTCGGCCTGGTTCCCGGGGAGTAGGCAGTCCCGGACGGTGCGCGCCCTGCACCCCTCCGCCTGCCCTGGCGCGGCGAGCTCGCCAGCCCGACTTCGGCGTCTCTGAAAGGCTCTTAAGGACCCATCTCCTCCAGCGCCTCAAAGCAAATTCTCCCCTCTTAACTTAGCAAACGTTTGCCAACGTTCTTTTTAACAGGGTCCTCAACTGAATATAATTTGAAGCCATTTTTCTGTCTTCAAATGATTCGGGCAACAACTAAATTTGGGGGTCGGGGAGCGCAGCCCGGGGGAAAAAAACAGTGCCCCACTACCCTTGTAGCCTTCAATACTGAAACAAATTGATCTTAGCAAAATGATAAATACACATACATGTATGTGTGCGTATTTATGTATGTAATTTCTTTATTCTGCATACGTTTACATTGTGTCTGAGAAACAGGAATTTTGCTCTTTACTATCTTAAATACTTTTTTAAATGGATTTACACATTTTTTTTATTGAAGTCCTATTACTTGCTAAAACCATGGCTAGGAGCTGACAGGAGAAAAGGTGAATGATTATGTCCGTCCTTTCAAATACAGTATGATCTTGTAGGAATGATAAGGTAAGTACAATCATGCTATATTAAAAGAAACCGACTATGATTAAATATCATGAGGGATACAAAGTTCAGTGAATGTCCTAAAAAGAGACAAGTCTGGTGGAGGAAAAGAGGCGGTCACCAGGAAAACCTTTTCGAAAGAGGTGGCATTTGAGACAGGCACTACAGGATGATGGGTCGGATTTCAGCCCATAGCTTTGACAGCCCGAGCAAAGAACTATGAGGAAGAGTCCCATAAAAGCATACAGTCCTTTTTTAGGATAGTCAAAGGGAAAATGGTAACATTAGATGCAAAAGGTAACTTGGTGCCTTTGGGTGGAGCACCTCCAGTGGCAGGCTGAGACACTGGGTCTTTATTTAATAAACATTGAACATGAAAGACTTTGGGGCAGACAAAAGGAATCTAGAAGCAGCATAGTAGAGAGGGTGACACTGAGGGGCCCAGGGACCCTGAGGAGCCACTGTAATACTGAGAAGGGAACTGACCTCTCCCTGGGGCAGAGGCAGTGGGCAAGAGGAAAGTAAATGCAAAGAAAGAAAGGCTAGGGCAGCATTGCTGCCCTAGCAGAATCCACAGATCTGGCCCAGTTGGAGGTGGGGAACAATGTAGGGATTCCCACTCCAGCTCTGGTTTGCCGCTGGATGACAAATGAACAGGCTTGCCAGCTTCAGATCACAGAGAAATGAGCAGAAACACAATGTTAGGGTTCCAGAAGGGAAGGAGGGTGGGAGACAATGAGCTTGACTTAGTACTCAATATTAACAGGGGGTTCCAAAGTAAATATTTCCTTGTATTGCCTCCAAAACTTCTTTCTGCCTCTCCCTCCCAATTTTTGGATTTTGGTAACTTTTTTAAAAAATAAAAAGGAAGCAACTCCCTTGATGGATCTGCAGAAAATAAAAAGCTCCAGTAATTGCAATTCATCAAAAACCAAAATCACTTAAAAGATGCTGCAAAGGAGATGTTGGGCTTTCTTAATACAACCTATTTGGATTTTTTTCCTTCACACTAACATATTTCAGGTATAATAAAAGCCTTAAGTGGCCGTTCAAATAAATTCATGGACAAAATTCAGGCAATTTGTTGTTTTTACAAAATTAATTCTCCCCCTAAAATTACTTCCTGTTTCACTTGGTATATAAACATTCAAACCTTAACATCATGGCCTCTGGAGAACTTAATACAGATAAATATGGTCAGTGAAAGACTAATGTCTCAAAATAAGCACTCAAAGTTTTCTATGCAACACTAAAGCAATCGTATTGTTTGAGAAGACCACGACCTCCCAGACACAGTCAAGAATGATTGTTAATATCACTACCAAAGGAAAATTTTAAAATACTCTGCTTCATTTAAATGTTGTAATATAAACTCTGTTTGGTCTATTTCGTTGAATGATTCAACATTGCTATTGTTCTAATTAAGTATGGTTGAACACTCACTCTGTGGGAGACAGCCTCCATTATTATGAGGACACTGGAAAAGTCCACTAAGGCCAATAGCTAGCAGCAACTGGCCAGCCATGTGAGTGAGCCATTTTGAAAGTAGATTCTCCAGCTCCATGCCAGGCCTTCAGATGAGTGTAGCACTGACCAACATCGTGACTGTAGTCTCATGAGCAACCCTGAACTAGAACCATTCCCCAAGCCACTCCCGGATTCTAACCACAGAAATTATGTTTAAAAAAAGAGGACTTGAGAATTTACCTAAGGTCACACTGTTCATTATAGGTGGAGAAGAGATTAAAATCCTCATTTGTCTGACCCTGGAGCCTGATCTTTTGTTTTAAAAAGGGAGATAAGGAGACTCATTTTCCTGAAAGCTCAGATGCACTGTCTACATTTAACAATACAGAAAAGGATGAAAATGACATAACAGGGGTCCCTGACTCATAGAAGTGAGAAATCCATTCCAAAGCAACTGGAGAAAAACTGTAAATAAGAAATAAAAATATGACGATGCTATCTTTCCTTTGGCTCTATAGACATTAATCATTTACTTTATTGTGTCTCATACAATGGAGCATTGCTGAATTAATTGTAGTATCATGCCAGTTAATTAAAAGGTACTGAATTTTTAAATGTAGATGTAATGAACTTTTGAAAAGCCAAAAATTATTTGGTGCAGCTTTTCAAACTTGAAAAAGTCAGTGAAGTATCTTGCAAGGTAAGTTACTGGACTGCAGAAGTGAACATCACAGGTAAGCAATCAATAAAACCTGGTAGATTTTATTTTGCTGAATGCTTTCTAGATGAAAAGTCAGCAAAAGAAATCATAACGCTTCCACTTTCCACTGATATACTAAGTCATCAAGTTAAAGATTTAACTGCAAAGATGAAAACTGATCTTGTCTACAGAACTGCATTTTTGCCTTAGAAATGGACAGATCTGCAGACTGTCTGTACTTGATATTTTGGTTATCAGCACCAGCTAATCACTGAAGATCTTTTATATGAATGCCTCACAACAAACAGAGGTGTTGAAACTTTCCACATGTACAGTAAATTTTTTATAATATCATTTATCCTGGAACAATTAGGTTGACATTTGTACTGATGATACAAAAGCAGTGGGTAAAACCTCTGGTGCCTTACAACAAATCGAGGCAGTGGCAACAAAATGAACTGAGTCATTGAATTCTTCCCCACCACCCAGTTAAAGGAAAAGAAAAAGGATAGGTAAAGAAGCCAGTTTCACTTTAGAAAATCCTAAATGAAACAGTAACAATCATTAATTTTATTAAATCTTAAACCTTGAAATATACATATTTCTAATATTCTATGATGACTGTCTGGAAAAGCACTTGGTCTATTAGGTTGAATGATGTGGCATTGCCACTCATCCTAATCAAATAATGTTTGAGTTGTGAGCTGAACTAGTCACTATTTTTTATGGAACACCAATTTTACTTGCCTGACAAAATGTGGTTATTCAGACTTGGGTATTTGTCAGATATATTTTTTAAGTGAACAAAGTAAGCCTGTCAAGGCACAACTGACAGTATTTGTTGCTAATGATAAAATTCAAGACTTCAAATGAGAATTAGAATTTGGGAAACTTCTGTCTAACACCCTGAGCTTGATAGCTTCCCAATATTTAAAGACATTTTTGATGAGGTCAGTGATGATGTGTTAACAAATGCGATTTGTTTTAATACTATATAATGAAATATGGCAACATTTGGAAAATGTACATAACTCAATTAACTAACATTTTCCAAATGAACCATGTAAAACATTACAAAATTACACATTCTATTCAAGGTGCAAGAGAAACCAATGGACATTATCAGAGTACAAAAAGTTCATTGATATAGTTTCAGATTCCATTTATTCTTTAAGGAACTACCACTTATTTTTGGTATAATATTTAAAAAGAATATCCGCCATTACCTGAAAAGACTATTAAAACATTTCTTCCGGGCCAGCGGAGTGGCGCAATGGTTAAGAGCTGGCTTGGGACGCCAGAGGGCCCCGGTTTGGATCCCACATATGAGGGCCAGTGACACTGCCCTCCGAAGTTAGGATGCTGAACAACAGCTCAACCTGGAGCTGGGCTGCCGTGAGTCGTCGGCGACAGCATAGGCTGCAACCCCTGCTGCAGTGGGTGGCCATGGGCTACCGTGTGTAGCCAGCAGCCAGCGTGAGCGGCCAGCAGCCGCAGTGAATGGCCGTCCAGAAGCCGGCGACTGATCCGCCTCGCCCGGGAAGAGCTCAATGATGGTGCCAACTTGGACCAGGGAAGCAATGTCCTCCACAACTAGACTGAAGAACAAAAGGACAGCAACTTGTCTGTTCCCCTTCCCCCAATTCCCCAATGAAAAATAAATAAATAAATAAAACATTTCTTCCATTTCCAACTATATATCTGTATGAGGCCAAATTTTCCTCATATACGTCAACCAAAACAACATATTGCAATAAATTAAATGCAGAAAGATGTGAGAATGTGTCTTCCATTAAGCTAAACATTAAGAGGTTTGCAAAAATGTAAAGCAATACTGTTCTTCTGAATAAATATTTTTCTAATTTAGAAAATAGTTTTTAAAATAAACTACTAAAGAGTTTTTAAATTTTTATTGATAGAATGTAG